AGAGAGAGAGAGAGAGAGAGAGAGAGAGAGAGAGAGAGAGAGAGAGACCTTGGGTCAAACTATGGTGGAAAAAGAAACAGAAAGCAGTCAGTTACAGTAATAAAGAAGTCTCTTGTTTTATGGTGGGACACACACACTGTAACGCACTGACAGGCTAAATGGATTATACAGTTCACTGGATGATTCCAGGGTAACAGACAGCAACAGAGTCTCACCTCTTCACGTCTCACTTTGTCTCAACTCGCTTTGTCTCCTCTCATTGCGTCTCCTCACCTATTACGTCTTCTCGTCTCCCCTTTCGTCTCATCTCATTTCCTGCACTCTCCTCTCCCTTCCTTTTCTCTCCTTTCCTTTTCCGTCTTATTGTCTCCTTGCCTGTCTTGTATCATCTTGCCTCTTTTTTCTCATCTCCTCCTGTCCTTTCCTTTTCTCTCCTTTCTTATCCTTTCCATGCCTACATTCCTGTCCTTACCCTTTTACCTTCTCATTACTTTCCTTACCTCTCCTTTCCTTTCCTTTCTTCTCATTTTATTCCCTCTCCTTTCCTCTTTTCCTTCTGACTCTTATCCTCTCATTTACATCCCTCTCCTTTCCCTCACTCTCCTTTTCTTTCCTCTCATTTGATTCCCTCTCCTTTCCTTTAGTTTCTTTTCCTTCCCTCTCCTTTCCTTTAGTTTCTTTTCCTTCCCTCTCCTTTCCTCTTATTTCCTTCCCTCTCCCTCTCCTCTCCTCTCTCAGACTCTCCCAGGCTGCAGCTCTCCCAGATAGACGTCACAGATTAGGAGATGAAAGCTTGCGGCCGCAGAGCAGCAAAAGTCAAACGTCTTGATGTGGTTCTTAGTGGGACCCTGGGATCTGTTGTTCTTCCTGCAATGGTTCCATAATACAGATTGATCTCCCCTTCATATCCTCTATTTGTGGGCGTGTGTGTGTGTGGTGTGTGTACATGTGTAATGTGTGTGTCTGAGTGGGAGATTTTATGCTAAGCTTTGATGGGAGCACAGAGCGGTCACACAGGTGGGCTGTGTGTTCCTTCCTCTCGTGCCATCCTAAATAACCACCTCGCTGACCCATGAGCTCCCCTGGGACAGGACAACAGAGAGAGAGAGAGAGAGAGAGATGTGTGTGACTGAACAGTAAATACATGTATCCATATTGAAAAGAAAATAGACATAATTCAGTTTAAATCTGGGTTAATAAATGTTCATTGAGTAATATTGGCTATACAACATGTTAACATGTTCTCCACCTAGAATAGCTGCTTTGTGCCTGCTACAAGAACCTGATAGCACAGAACTGGTTATTGCAAAAGCCAAGAAAAAAACTCATTGAACCTCCACCTCCTGTGTTTCATTTTGCTGTTTATCTCTTTATTTTTTGCAATGCAATAATCCTGTTCATGCATATATATATGCTTTACTCAGCATGTTTGTCATTGTGCTCTGTTCATAAGTATTGCATGCATTTGCTTTTCTGTGTATTTCTATTTGCATTGGAATGTTTTCATTTCCACACCCTGATACTATGAGAGTGATCTTATCATATTCCATGTCGCACCTCCAAATACCTTACATTCAGCCGAGCCCTTAAAGGCCCCCCCCGTGGAGTGTTCCAGTTAACCTTTCAAGTTAGTGCTGCTCAGACACAATTTATATCTTTCTCAGTTTCCAAAAGCATATTACCTTAAGCCATCTTTTCCTTTATACTTTGAATAATGTTTTTTTTGTCAGAGTGGGGCCGTGGAGAGTAAACAGAGAGAGGACTTGACAGGTGTGAGAGACGTACAGCAGGAACACACGAGGTATGTACAACATGTATACACACTGTTATATTTAATTATGGTTCTGTCTCCGAGATAAAAGCTGATTAGGTGAGGCATCAGATGGAGGACTCTCTGCACAGTGGACTCAACAAGATGAATCGTGTGTTTTGTTCGTCCTCATGCAATGACACCAGTACGGACTGGCCTGGTCGCTGAATGTTTCGTGTGCAGTTTACTAACCAGTTTATTGAAGTTTTAAAAGCTGTCAAACACATGCCGCTCACTGCCATTTAGAGCCTGCCTGCATGTGTAGTTATAAAGTACAGCATTAGTTTGTTTTATGTGACGCATTAGTTTGATTCATTGTATTTTGACAGGGTGAACCAAGCCTTTCTGGACAATCTCGAGGGTCGACGCGGGGGGAGTGAGAAGGACACAAAAGAAGAAGGCGTTTGGGAGTGTCCCTTTTTGGCCCCCGAGGATTTTAGACACCGGCCGGACAACCCCCGTGGACACCAACTCCCCCCCTCTCAGCCGATCCCAGACCCAGATCAGTGCTTTGCCGACTGGACAGTTGAAGCTGGTGAGCCTACTGTTTCTCACGCCTTTTTTAAGTCTGGCTCAACGCTGGTTGAACCAAACATAAATCAGATATGTGACAAGAGTTGCCAACCTTTCTCAGAAAGACTGTGATTGTCTGTTTAGTCTGCGTTAAATCAAAGGCTTTACGTGCTTCAAATATGCAGGCAGGAAGTTATGCGTGGTACGTAGTGATGCCGTAGCTCCTGGCGTTCAAATCCTGCTGATACTTGTAGTTTGTGAGAAATGTCTGTTTGTGTCGAAGAGTGTGCGTAAGAAAGTATTTCCCTTCCTTCTGGACACAAACCTTTACGTACTATGGATTGAGCAATATACTAAACACATTTTAAGCGTTTGTTGACAGGACACAGAGAACATGGGCGTAAAAGTCTGACACCAACACACACAAAACACTTTGGGCTCCTGTCAATCAGAGAGGAAAATTCTCAGGAACACAAGCGAGACTGACTCTCGGCCTGCAGCCAAACGAGAACAGTGGCGTCCTTCTATAATTGATCCAGATTCACATACTGAGTTTGATACCTGACTGGCTGCCATACAACTATGAGTACCTGCCACTCAGAGATAAGAACACAAACATTATTACCTGCTGCTCTTAATAATTTGCTGATGTGTCACTCGTTCTTTCTTTAATTTATTCTTTAGTTTGTTTTATTTTTTAATACTTGTTATAATCCAAATATCGAACCTTTTTACATATATGGCACTCCTAAACTCCTATGGCACTTAAAGGGGAGACATACATGTGTCTTGCTCATTTTCAGGTTTATTTGGGGTTTCCACTAAAACATATTTACATGCTTTAATGTAAAAAAAACTTGTCTTGTCTGATTATACCTGTATCAACCATTAGACTGAAATCCTCCATTTTAGCGCCTGTCGGTTAAAGCTAAATTACCCAAGAATATCTCAAACTTTCAGTCCTGGCACCGCCACTGCGGGGACAATTCTGCATGTCGGAATCCCACAACATCCTTGATCCATGTCAGGCTGCGTCCGCCAGCCCCGGTCTATATTTTACCAGCCCGCTGATCGGGTCTTTCCGTGCTGTCACTACCTTGCCGGAGCCAATCTCCTGCATGATCGTGTGACGGCCTCTCTCGTCTGTCCCCCACTGCTGCCCAGGCCTGCATTTAAACCGGACCAGCCCGTGGCAGGGAGAACCACCGGGCGTCCGATTCCGGAAGATGTGGGTAGTTGTAGGCAAGAGATGCCAAAGTGGTCAGACAGAAGAGCTTTCAAGCTGCCTGAAAGACATGACTGCAGACTTCTGAGTCCGTCTTTTTACTTCTCGTTTTAGTGGAGCTGACAAGAGCATCTTGGTGATTGCCTCACAGATCGTGTGTGCAAATGTTCCACAAAATAGATCATCCCCAACAAGAAAAGAATAAAACATGTGTCCGTCTGCTGTGCATGAGAATGATACTGCGCTGTGCCGTATGGGATGACAATCAAAGAGCCCTCTTTTCAACAGGGGCCTTGTGGGAACAATGATGAATAAAGTGGGATCCATGAGGATGATTTCTTTCCTGTGTGCTTTCCAGATCCTGACTATGATTGGGCCTTGGTGAAACTGAAGAAGAGCTTTCCAGACTGCAGCAGAGTCTTCCTCGAGGACATCCTGGAGCAGTGCAACAGCGACTACGAGCAGGCCTACACACTACTCGACTGCACGATGAATTAAGTGGTATGCATGTTTAATGGGAGGACTGTCTCTCCTTTAATATTGAGTTTGACACTTTAGGAGTTGGGCCAAATAAAAATGCATAACCAGCGTTCACGATGATAAAGAAACGATAGACTTGAGGTACCTACCTTGGTGGTGGATGCAAATGCTGACGGCACTACACAGCTGCATTAATTATATACCTATGTGCTTATTTGAATCTGTTTTTGATAATGCCATTGTAATTGAGTGTTTGCTGTCTTGTATCTGTCTGCATGCACTCGTGAGTCATGTCGGGTGTTCGCCCTGACGTCGAGTTGAATTGATATTCGTTTTCACCAGTTTAGCTGAAGGTCGTCAGCATGACTCACGATCTTCAGATCATATTTGGGGCTCTTAATTAAATCAGTGTGCGGAGATGGAAGAAAAGCTCTACCCACATACATGATGCTTTTTGTTTGTCTTATAATCAAAGTCACATGGGGTGTATCTATTGCAGGATTCTTCAGGGCAACAAAAGATTTTAAATCCAAATGGGATTTTCTTTAGAAAGGCTTCAGTGCAAAGGCACAATAGCTTTAGAGGACTTCAATAAAACGGCTTCTTGTGAACTCTCACTGTTTGTCAAAGCTCTCTCTTTCATCAGTGCCTTATATCGGACAGGGTGGGGTTTCCAGGTAGGCAGTTGGCACAGAGCTGCTGTTGAAGCCGTGAATGTCAGCCTCATAATAGCACTGAGGCCGGACAGCAGAGATGGTTATCACCTGACCGAGGCAACAGAGAACAAAGGGTGGTGCTCTCAACACGGGGGACCAAAAATCCCCTTCTACTCCAGCATGAAGTCATGCAGGAGGCGTTTTACTGCTGATGTCATCCAGCAATTGTCTTTGCGCTGGAGATTAGCAAGAGCCTCAATTTTTTAAAAGAAATCTGGACTTTTAAAATATAGCAGCAACGGCCTATAGGAGAAATTATAATCAGAATCAGGTTTGTTTTCACATACAAGGAATTTTGCCTGTTGGTGTTTTGGTTCATAACAATAAACTTAGTAGGAGAAAATAAAAAATTGAAACAAGCACTGCAAAAGTCAAGAAATATAAATATAGAATAGAACAATGTACAATAAAAAACTATTAAAATATGTGCACTACAACTGTTTTAACAGCTCTGCAGTTGCTGTGTGCAAAAGTTGACAGTATGAGGTCTAAAGAATATGTGCAATGTATACAGAGATACAAGTGGGAAGGGGATCCTGGGCCTTGTTGAAGAGGCCAGCTGCAGAGAAGAAAATGTTCTGTGTATTTGTATTATTAGTTATAATCATTACCATATATTTATAACTAATGTGACACTGTGATGTCTCCATATAATGCAGCTGTGTGTGTGTTAACATTTTAAGGAGAACAGCGTTATTTGAGTTACCAAAGTAAGAATAAAACCCGATTTAGTTGTTGTAGGTTAGAGCTCAGTGTGTACCAGATGTGTACCGCTATCAAGTAAAGAGGAAAAACCTTGAAATGAACTGGCTGTGTGAACGTGTGCGTGGGTGGAGGTGGGGACACACCAGTTCTCCGTCGCCTAATCAATACAGTTCAGTTCTTGTCCGTGAGCTGATGAGACACGGGCGTGGGAAGGTATCGCATGATGTCTCCTCAGGCCGTGTGGCTCTCTTACAGGACAGTTCAATCAGCGCAAATGGAAACAGCTCCGGGATCCAGTGCAGCCGATCCGTGGCTGGTTCCAGGAAGCAGGTTCACCGCGTTATTTGGAAAGAACAGTGAAATCCCCTCGAATTTGTTACATGGACTGATGTAGAGAGAAGTGTAGGAAAGTATAAGAACAAAACTGCAAAACTTCATCTTCAAAGACACATCATGTTTGTTCACACTTATCGCAGGAATCACCTCATCAGACCAGAAAGTTAATAAGGGGGAACATTTGATTCAGCTGTTTCGATCGCAGTTCATGTCGAGCGATTGTTTCTTACATTTCCTTGTAACTGGGGTGAGCCTTTTGCAATAATTCACAGTAACTTAAACGTGAAAAGAGTATAGCTGTTGCACAAGTCAACACAGCAGTGATATAGTGGTGATTGTGTATCTGTCAGATGGAAACAACACTGATGTGAGCAGAAGCAATGAACCAAAATGGTAAAGTTGTGGACGACATTTTTCTTCTTCTTGTGTATTTGTTTCATATCAGAGTTGCTCTCATGTTGTCTTTGCATGAAGCTATACTGTAATTGTCATCCACCCCTCTCAAAGCCCGCCGCTCTACAATACGCTCATACGGTGATGGGTACAGCTGATCAAGCTTCCGTGACAGTGCCATGGAAGCATTCAAGCATTCACCTTTGTGTGTGCACTATGTATTGGTCCTGAAGGGATTTAATGTTCCTGCTCAGTGTTCATCACTTGGGGTGTTTCCCCGTTAGCCTGTTTTCAGACAACCAGAATGAGAAAGATCGAAATAAAGAAAGTTATCAACGCACACTTCAAAAAATCTGTAGAGAAAAATAAAGCTCTCTAAAAAGTCCCAAAGTGTCAGACTTCATGTTTATTATCATAATAATAAACATGAATCATCATCTGATCTCTATTACTAATTGTCCTCTGGAGAGATGACAGACTAATAAGCAGAATTCCAACCCTCTGCCTTGTTTTTTCTGCATTATCATCCAACCAAGAAATTGAAATCCTCCAAGCTGTTGTGCAACTTAGCATGTTAAAGTGAGGACTATATAAGACGCTAGTCTTTGTGTATGCTTGTACCATGACAGGTCGTAATAGTACATGTGGGAACTGATGGAGAAATATATATGAGCAGCTCTCCTCTGATTTCAGCTCATTGTTCAGCCATCCGACCCACTCGTACTGTTCTGGTTCACTCTCACCGCTCTCTTAGCGTCGTTTTCCCAGTAAAAGCTGCACGAACCCGCTGTACACTACCTGCTCAGCAGCAAACAGCAGTGAGATAGACAGACATGTCCCTCAGAAGATGGTGGAGAGCAATAAACGGAGCTAAAAGTGAGTGAATATTAAACTTATATTTGCCAGGTGACCGAAGACATGACTCCAAGTGAATCATCATGTTGCCCTGTAATTGCTGGATGCGTAAATAAACAACAGTTTTCTAACAAGTCCAACATATTTACTCAAAAGGTGAATATGTGTCACAACTTGAAAAAAAAAGCACTTTGTGAAACTTCAACCTTGTAGTTTTAGTCTAACCAAACCTCAACCACGGCCATGGCAGAGAAGAAAAGGAATGCTCATAGTCATGAGTCATTTCGGAAGGCCCTGGCAGTTGACCTACTTTGGCCTGTAGGTAGGAGTACATGTTTCTGATCCCCACGTGTGGTACAATCCCTTCTGTTAAGAGAACGGAGGAGGACAAGTCTTGCAGCTGGTGGAGGTCCAGCAGCAGAGAGGAAGAAGGGGGGGCAGGTGCAGGAGGAGACCGATTCTTTCCCAGCGCTTCAAAGTGGGGAAACCTTTGCCTGTGCAACACCCAAAGCGCACAAAAGAAACACATGCACAGTAACTACACTGACACATGTGTGGAGGTAAACGCACAAAACACCCACATCACTCCCACCAGAGTGAGGAATACCGATCCTTTCCTGTCTGGTCACCAGCGTTGGTACACTGTTGATGTTGAACAGAGATGAATCAGAGGGAGAGCCGCCTCATGCTGATACCCTCCTCGCAGGTCTTCCGTTCCCCCCCCCAGCCCCGATAGTCACTGGGTGTGTCTCCGTGTGATAAGTGGACTCCAGTGAGATCAAATGAAAGTCGAATTTATTTGAATGAACTCAAAGGCTTGATCTTGCATACATTACTGCCAGGCCCCACAGCTGCAATAAACATTACAGCTGAGCTTCCACCAGTGGGCCTGAGGGCTGAAACAAACATTTCAGCCTGTTTAAGGAATTAGTTTGGGGTTCCGTGTTTTACAATCTTACAGCTGCAGCACTGAGGCAACTTCAAACTTTGTTTCACCCCACTTGTCGTACCTTTTCTTCAAGCAATTGTGTCTGTTTAAGTCACTGGACCACCCAGTGGTTGTGAGGATGAGCTGTCCCCATGAGGACAGTCATTACCTCAGCATATGGCAGAGTTACACAGACCAGCACACACACACACATGCATGTATGAATGCAGAGGCCTACAAACAGTTGGGAGTTGGGGGATTCCCAGAGAGCGGTTCATAGTCAGAATGAGGTCACCTCATACTGTAGTGTCACACACACACACACACACACACACACACACACACACACCAAAACTTCTGGGTGAAAAATACATTAAAATATGTCCACTTCAGAAACACCCCGGCAGTCACACAGCCATGAATCTTTGGAGAATATTAAGTATTGGTTTGAAAAGCATAAAGCTTCTCGATATGTCTGAAATCACCACCATTTGTTTTTACAGTGGTTACTTGGAAGGATATTTCGCATCAAGTTACAATGTGAGCTCATGGGTGACCAGCAATGTGAGAGTTTTAAGTCACACATCCGCTTTGTTCCTCTGCCAGACAAGTGCTGTGCTTTGAGGCGAGCCAAAGAAGGTGGTCCGGCATTTTTGCGTATTTCTATTTGGCAAAGCTCTGATCAGCGGAAAAAAATGTATTTTTATATACCGTCCGAAATGTTTGGGCCGATCAGCCCTAGAGATCTGCTCACCCAGAAAAAGTACCACAAGTGAGATACACAGCCAGCTAAGATTAGCGAGAGTGAGAGAGAGAGAGAGAGAGAGAGAGAGAATTCACACATTCGTCACAAAACAAATGACTTAATTACATACAAAAATGTAGACCACAAAAAAACGACAGATAAAGAAAAATGGTTGGACCATAATGCCAGAAATAAGCAAAGAAAATCACCATTATCGTATTAATCTAAAAGTTTGAGCAGAGAGTAAATATCTATTGAATGACCAGACATTGCAGGATGAACAGAGATAATCAAGTAATATAAAGAGTCATGTATGTGGACAGTTTGTCATGTTAAATTTTCCACACAGGAGACTCATTGGTGTGATGTCAGCTGACAGGAATGACTTCCTGTAGCGTAGTGATGTCTAGCCATGCAGATCATTTATGATTTATGTTCTTTTCGGTTTTAAGATATCAGCCTCTTTAGCTTTCTGCCACAACCACAATACAACAGTTTCATTCTTTGGCGCTCACCGAATTGACGAAATTACTTTTGGAAAAAGAATGTGCAGCAACATGTCTTCTCAAAGACAATGTTCTGGTTACACTGGGTAATCCACAGACCTCACTGGGCAGCGTGCACTGGGAGCATCAGGAGAAAGTAGTTCCAATGAAAACTGTTCACAAATGAGGTCTGCGGATCATCCAGGGCAACCGTGACATTCTTTCTAGGAATAGATTTTCAATTGTAATTGTTCAACACGTTGAACACCACAGGCAGAATTCCAGTCACCTCCATTGTATTTTGGGGGTGTTGTAAGAAATCTCACGGAAGGATATTTCAAAACTTCAGCACATAAAACCAAAACTATCTGCATAGTTTGCTACCACTAGCGGTAAGCGAGGAAGGTTTTTTTTGTGATTCGAGTATACAGAGCCTTTAGATTATTTCCAACC